GTTCAATTTGTACTTCCTCTTTTACAATCCTAATGGGCCTGACCTTACACACCTTTTTTATATTTAGTTAAGTAAACTTTAGATGGCATACAGTGACACAGTGACTCAAACAAATGACCAGGTGTTGATTTTCTTATTAAGTATTCGTAATGTTTTTCGAGCTATTTTTTTTTTTCTTTTTATAAAAATATTTTTCACCGAAAATTCGACTTTTAAATATCAACCTTTAAAACATTTAGGGTATCTATTCAGTTTTATAGCCCATAAAATTTTAGTCTAAAGGAGCTCAAATTTCAACCGGCTTAAAAATTGCGCTGATTTTTAATGTTTTTTTTTTTTGCAAAAATCCGTCACCAAAAAAAAATCTCAAAAATCAAAATCATTAGACTAAAATTTTATGGGCTTTAAAAGTGCATACCCAAAAATATTCTAAAGATTCAGATTAAAAAGTAGAAATTTTGATGCAATTTTTTTGGAAGTTTTCTAAATTTTGTATAGAGTTTGAAACTATGATTTATATGGTTTTATTTAAAGCCGTATTTTATAGAAAAATAACCAAAAAAAATTTAGCACGAAAAACACTACGAATATTAAAAAAAAAATTACACGTGGTAATTGTTTGAGTCACTGTGTGTATGCCGGTTTTTACATGTGTATGTAATTAACTACGTGCGAAAAGGGAGAAAGAATTGAGTAAACGATGCAAACAAAATATCTAAACAAACATTTGAGGCCTTTATAAAATGTATGTATGTATGTATGTAGTTATGTACTTGTTGTTGTTCAACAACATGATTAAATATCATATTTCAGTGGAATGCAAAGTGTTGAAAAACAATAAACAGCAAATGAAATATTTGCTAAGAAATTTCAACGAATTCTTTTTTTTTTTGCTTGCTCTGTGAGTTGTAAAATATTATTAATTATCAAGTTGTATATGTAACAGCTTAAGTTGAATATTTTTAGGCAATTATTTTAATAAATGATATCAATAAATATTGAAGCAGAAAATAAGCATCTCGTTTCGCTGCCAATCCGCCGTATTTTCAGTACATTAAGATTTTGTTTTTTATAAATACTTTTTTATAAAAAAATAATTTTTTTTCTTTATTTATATAGTAATCTATGCTAAAGTCTAACCTACTAAATAAGTGACTATGTACTTCTGGAACAATCGTGGTTTACTGCATGGCTCTTGACTGACTCATTGAGCGTTTGTATAAAAAAGTCAACAGCGCTTCTTAAAACAAATATGTAAACAATTTAAGAAGCGAGAACTTTGAGACACCTGCACATCTATGTAGATATCATAGGCATCATCTCGGCAAAGAAAGAATTATGAAAAACAACTGGTTTAAGGTAAGTTAAAGTAAGACTGCTTTCATTTTAGAAGTTTCGGGAACAAAAAATTTTAACAAAAAGGCTTAGAAAAATTACCAAGAAATTACCAGACTGCAGGGATAAAAACCGATAAGTAAAATATTTTGATTGATTTTATTTTGACAAATTCGCTGTATTTTTCAATCTCTTAAATGGTTACTCAACTTTAGCGACTCGGCACGTGAAGTCTTCAGAAAAACAAGTACCTCCACAAGTATAGATTTTGATCTATATAGGCTAAATAAACATATTTCAGACAAATTTCTTTGTAACGTTTTAATCAGTAAAATTTTGTAAGTTAAAAGCTTTTATTGTTACTGTGCAACGAATACGAAATCCATTCAAATTTGAAGAAAAAACTCTATCGGACAATAAAGTTCAATTTGATATCTTGATTGCTTTATTTAGAACAGAGTATGTATGTATGCATTTCCTATTGCCAGCTGATAAATGAAAACGATATTTTGTTAGAAGTGAGTACATTTGATAAAACGGTTGCTAATGATATTTCGTCAAGTTCTGGAAAAATTTATCAACTTGAATCATAATGAGTAGTACTTATATGTACTTACTTCAGATTAAAAATATTATCTTAAATTTCTGAAAGTACCCCTTTTATTGAATAAAGTCTTGCGCGCTTGAAGCTTTTGAGACAAAAATACACCGACATGCTTGCTATCGAAGTGCATATAGCACAAAAGCGCAATCAGCCCAGACTCACTTTCCACATATTTCTGAATTTTTTTGCGCAATTTTCTACCATCAATTCCATTTGCTATAGTGGGAAATTTCTTGCAGAACAACCAATTTCTGGCACTTCTTGTGAAAAATACTAAATTACCAATTTTGAATGGAAAAAATGTGAAAAAATTGCAAATAGCAAAAATTTGTTGTAGAAACATTTTTGGGTCTTCATAATTTTTTATAAAAATTGTGCCTACAATTCATAAGAAATATGCGCTTGAAATTTTGTAGTTCCGATCGTCATAAAAAAACTAACGGTACTTCTAAATGAGTCTTTTGAATTCTTTGAATTGCTTTGGAAAACAAATATTTTTTTGTGAAAAACTCGGTCAAAACTATAGCAGTTTTTTTTGTTGATTTTGAGAGAAATTCATTTAGAAATTTATGCATCGAATTTTTGCTCTAAATTTAATCGATTCATTGAATCTCTAATTAGCAGAGGTTCTAAAAAAATAGACGAGCATGTTTTGTTTGGAAGAAAATGCATAGCAACTTCAACAAAACCAATTGAAAGTTGCATCTTATTACAATAAAATTTTGTAAGTCAAACTGCATACTAAAAAAAAAAATACAAATATTTTTTGAAAATTTTAAATTTTTATGAAATTATGTTGAATTGTTATAAATTTTTTTATAGACTTTTGTTGTAGAGCATGCCATATTTTTATAAAAAAAAATTAATATTAAATAAACAAAAGGAAAACTAGCAATATTGAGGACCATAAGTGAAAAGTTAACACTGATTTTGTTTATTTATTCTACTTTTTTTTTTTTGGGCATTCATAATGTGGTAATTTTTACCCCCTAGCGACGAACCCCATTTTAAGTGCTGTGTTCTAAGGGTTAATCGTTTCTTTTATCACAACTGATGGCTATCACTTTTTCTTTGGTCGGTGTTATATAGCGCCGTCAGAATGGGTACTTTGCGTATGTGCCACACAAGAATGAAAGTGACAATTTAGTAAACTGTGTGTACATATTTGCATGGAGAGCGCCAGATTGGCAACCCTTGTTTCGACGGTATCAACGAACGTTGGCCAACTCTCAACTTTTGATGCAAGTCATAAATAGAGAAATGCTCTCCTAGTTTGTGCAACAACAATTGCAGTTGCATGCAGTTTGGCAAAAAAAAATTTTCTACATAACACCACCGACCTTTGCTGAAAGACAGCTACTGCAAATTTTGAGTAAAATTAAGAGAATTCGCATTTTTACCAGAAAGAATGGAGAGAATTTTGGCGAACAATCTAGAAATTCTCGGTAAACAAAATAAGATACTGACAAAGTTTGTAAACAGCAGTTAAATGGTGCGGGTAGAAATACGTGTGTTTATAAATTTGAGTATACTTATAAGATATGTATGGATGTACATATAAACACATGTAAGTTTGAAGTTGAAAAAAAAATTTTCTTAACAGCCAATAGTCGCTGGAAATTCCCTACCATAAGAAATAGAACTTATTTTAATTTCCACATACAAAACCAAAGATTCGAAACTGTTTTTCGATATAAAGCAGACATTTGTACATATTTGTTTTCCATCTTAATAAACAAAAGCCACGGCAAGTTGTCGATTAATCAACATAAAATCGAGAAAAAAAAACAAACCAAAAATATTAATTAATAAATAAACTTGTCTCCATTGAAACAACAAATATACATACAGAAGTTATTGCTATTATTGTACACAAAATCAACAAATTTAATTGAAGTCGAAGATAAAAGCAGAAAACTACACACTTGTACAAATACTTATGTATCGTTCAATTTTTGAGCGGTTCAGTGAAGAGCAAAGCTCGAATGGGTGGGGTAGATGAAGAAAACGGGGACTGAAGGTAACATAAGTGATGACCAAGGCCTGATGAGCCACAGTGACAGCTTAAAGCTAACAATGAGCTGTCAGTTTGCTCTCTTTTGTTGACATACGCTATTATTATTATTTTTTTACTTTTTCGCGCGGCAATCAAAAAGCAAAATTTTTATCTTTAGGCCGTCTATGTATACCATAAGATACCTACTACTATATTTATATTAGACTGCATCACCGAAAAAGGTTGCGGTTTTTCGGCCGGGATTACAAAACGTATTATTAAGGGATTCAGAAGACGTGTTGACCGGCGTAAAATCTTAAGCTTATGTTTTTTTTTTTATGTAAAATAAGGGTAAAATGGTTTTATGGGGAGCTAATTATAAATATTTTTATCGGAAAAATATTATGATTTTCATACGTAAGTTGGACCCATTTTAAAATACCTCCAAACATGGATTTTTTAATGAATAAAAATAGTTTCTTAAAGTATTTCTAAAAAAAAATCCTCACAGATGAAGCTTAAAAAACATGTATACAAATATTAAAAAAAAAAAAAATTGTTGGCTGAGTTATTCAAGTTTTTCTTAAACCAACATTTGAAAAAAGTTCAAAAATAGCTTCGAAAATCTCATTATTATGTTTACATTGAAAATTTTTTAAAATATTTGTATGCAAATTTTTTAAGCTTAAACTATGTATTTTGTCATCTGAGCTATTTTTTTTTTTTCAAACAATTCTTAAAAAAAAATAGTTTATTCATAAAAACTCCATTTTTGGAAGTATTTTCAAATCGGTTCAGCTCACGTAAATCCTAATATTTATCCAAAATATTTTGGTGCAAGTCTTAAAATATAATAGATTTTATAATTCCAGTGGACAATATTTTTTTTTTTTTGTATAAGGGGGTGATGCAGTCTAATGTAGCAACATTTATGTATCTATATAGAAAACATGTTGTATAGATAGCAAAATGAATAAACTGTCCGTGTAGTAGAGAGAGGAAGAGTGTTGACAACGAAATTAATAAATAAAAAATATATGTAAAAATATCACTTAAAACACTTACGTAAAATTGTTTCTACAGCCGGCCAGTTGCAAGATATCTTACTGCTGCTAGTTATAAAAGTATTTGAAATTACTATATTCACTTATATTGCTTTAACTTTTCACACGCCAAATAGCACAATTTCATTTCATCAGAATACCAGATTGTAGTACCCACACAATTTTTTTTGTTTTAACTTTCGTTTATGGTTTTTTCACCTCCTCGCTTATTTTCAGTCAATCTTTTCTCCATTCCTCATATGTTAATTTCTTCCAAACCTGTCCACAGCAGGCGATTAACAACCGGTTGTAGGCCGCATTTATAATTTTAGACACTGCTTCCTATTTTTTACTCATTTGCTGTTTTTTTTTCTTTTTGGCTGGTGTTCAGGTAATACAACCAAAACAAAAAATAAATCCACAACAACTGCTAACCGGTTTATCTAGCTGCACATTTCTTTTACTTTTGTTATTTATTTACACCAAAGCCTGTTGGTCGATTTAAAATCCCAAGAAATTTGCCTCCAAATACAAAGCACGTGACTTTGATTTTTAATTGCACACTTTAGTCTATAAAACTTGTTGGTTCCTTCCTTCAAAAATTTGAATCTCTTCACTCTGCTCAAAGCAAAAAATCCTCTACCGCTCTAGCCAGACACACCCACTTAGTGCAGCGCGCTTTTCACAGCGGTTTTAATTGCACGAGACAAGGCAATTTTATCACTCACAGTTTGAAAATCTAAAACGCTTTAGTGTTTCCGTTCTTAATACTTTTTAAATTATCAATAAATTTATACTTGATTTGTTTTTTTTTTCTGCACGTTTTCAAGCGAAAAAATTGCCTTCCACAAACATTACTCAGGTAAATGTTTAAAGAGTCACACTACAATCTAGCTTGCTGGTTGAAAGTGAACTGAATTGATATAATACGCGCCACTTTATCTACAGATTCCTCAACTACTGTGCAAAGCGTCCAGGGATGCCAACTCTGTCGAGGAAAACCCCCCCAAAATCCCCCATTTTTAGTGGTTTTCCCCGAAATATGTTTTCTTTAATTAAAAAGCGTTGTGGAAAACCTATTTGAAAATGCTGATGCGCTAAAATCTGCATTTAATGAAGGTTTGGTTATCATTGTCTTACTATTTATTTTGAAAACTGATCTTATTACAATATTAACTAATCGTTCATTTCCACCAAGCCTCAACTGCAGTTTATGCCTATTGGAAAAAGCAGGTTACAACCCGAAGGTACTAGTTGCTCATATTAAGTACGAAAAAACGAAAGAAAAATACCAGAAATTAAAAAATAAACCTTTTGTTAAAATTGGTGTAACTTATCAGAGCTCCCAACTGGAGTTAAGCGTTTGGTGGAAATGGGCTATTACACAAAATTTCGAACAAAAAAAATTCAAAATCGAAATTGGATTAAAAAATAATAAGTTAAATTTTTGGCTCATTTGGGCCGAGTTCAAACAACTTAGCCAACTTAGCCACCGCCACATATTGACTAGTACTTATAATTTAGTATCTGTGATTTATAATAAAATATCAAATATTTTCCGCCAAAGACATCAGGTCTTTCCCCATTCGCCCTAAAAGTGGGAATTCCGCCATAATGGGGGAATTAACCCGCAGTTGGCATCCCTGAAGGCAACCAACAACATGAATGCACACTAAAGCTGAAATTAGTCGAGAACGCAGAACGTATACTTAAACCCAGTCTGTATACGCAGAATTTTGTCGATTACTGGACCCCTCAGCGTTGCTTACTACACTGTTGCCACTCATCAATGCCTTTTCATAAACTTACCCTTTCAACTACAATTTTCCGTGCTATAATAGATTTTAGCTAAATATAAACTACTTAGTTTTCAACAAAAACCTTATTCAATAGTAAATTTCAAATATTTTAAACATATTTTGAATAGGAACTTATAACTTTTTTACCATCTGTAAAACTGACGAAGTGGCAACCATCTAAAGAAGGAGGAATCAGCTGACACGGAAAAATCTAAATTCCGCAGATTTCTGCACTACGGGCTACAACTACAGAAAAATTCTGCGGTGCTGAGTTTTCTTTTACATGGCGCTCTGGTAAGACAGATCGTGTCAGCTGAGTCGGGTTTACGTACCGGTAGGTTTACGTTCTTGACTAATTTCAGCTTAACGCAAAATGCTGAAAATAATGAATACATATTTACATTCAAGCATAGGTACTTATCGATGGCAACTGAATAACAGAGAGCGTGTGATATTGAGGGAACAGTGATAAATATGCGTACATAATATGTAGCTGCATTGCATTATCAGAGCTCTGTTATGTACATACAGTGTAGCATATATGTACACGCATTTTTGGCTAATAATTTTTTATTTAAAAAATTATGATCAATAATATATATGGCTATACTCGATTTTTTATTTTTTTTTTCAAAATTCTGAGTTTTAAACTTTGGTGAAAAATTCTTTAGTGTTTTCCAAAGTTTGAAGTTTTGATTTACATGATTTTTGTTGTAGAATGTGCTAAACATTAAAAAAAAAGCCGATGCATCGCCGTAGCGACCCGTGAAGGCAGGAAGAGTCCATTTGGCCTATGCCAGCAACAGACCGCTGTTTGTGTCACAAGTAGTGACCAGTCAGCAATCCCACAGGTCGGCTGCAGTCCCATCCACACTACGCACTATTTTTTAAAGTAACCGAACTAATCTTGAATTCATTTAAAAGTTCGTTTAATAACGAGAACAGCGAATGTCTACTTTAAAAAATCGACTGAAAACTAACTGAGGTATTCAACTTTTCGTGTGATAAACTGAACATCGATTCATCGCCAGCTAACGCTTGCGAGCTATGTATTATTGTGAATGGCTGTGGTTTTTATTTACTTTTTATTGTGGACCAACACGACAGTCGGGTCTACGTAACCGAAAGGACCCAGAAACTCTTTGGGGAGTTTGTATGCTGTTACAATAACAACAACAGCTACGCTAACTATCGGATTTTTTCCACAAACATCGAATTGTAAACCGGTGTGTGGCAAATTTCATATTTCGATTCGACCTACAAGGGAAGTGATGTTATCCCAGGTATTTTGGAGTGGCGTACAGTACAATAGTTCCATGATTTTCAAACTGTTTGTCACCAGAACACTTTTATTTGATTCATTATAAAAATATGCACAACAAATTTCGATAAAATTTCTGAGACGGAGAAAAATGAGTTCGGCTAGAAAAATTAATATAATTTCGATTTAATTGCTTTCTCTTTTCTTCACATTTGCACAGTGAGCCAAATCTCATAAACTCGCAAATGAAATTTAGTATTATTTGGACCACGATAAAGCAATTGGATATGACAAGAAAAGGCATGCTATCGCAAACAGCAGGGCCACCACCACTCAACGGCTAATACTGGTTACCAAATCTTTTCTTCTGAGTTGAAAAGCAATCGCCCACTCTACGAGTTTTTGACTGGGGCCAGTAAGCACAAGCCAATACATTGAAAGATCTTTGACGACCTAACCACTGTCGCGTTTATGCATTAGAATTAACAGGTGGCAAATCTGTGGTTCTACACCAAGCCTCTACAGAGCGAACTTTGCGATCTACTTTGACAGCCATGCTGCTATGATTAGCATTACAATGCTATGAAGTGCTCTTTGGTCCCTAGTCACAGGACAGTTACATGGCCAACGAGCTATACGAAAAAAAACTGTTGAGAAATTTGCTAAGAGAATGGCTATACCTAAGATTCTTAAACCCTGGTTAGGTACTTCTTTTCGAGGCTGCAAACAGCAGAGTTGCCGCGGAACAAAATGGCCTCAAGAAATGATTCATATATCTCTACCGCTTCCGTTGAACGGGACACTGGCTTACATACATATGTGGACACAATGTCAAGAGGACGGGATACCAAACCAAACATTTCTAACTCAACTGCAAACACGAGGAAAAGGTGGAGCACGTTGAGCAATGTTTATGTCAATGTCATGGCCTGACCAGGAGGCCCTAGTAGTATACGTTTTTATGACAGAGCTCATAAATGTTTTGGAACTCGTTTTTTGGATTCAGGAAAAATTTAGCGTAAATTATACCACTGTTCATTATGTTTAACGTTATATGTAAATAAAACCTGTTATTTTAAAGCAGACTGTAATATTAAGCTGGCGAAAGTCGTAGAACAGCGTAGAGAAAATGCTCTGAAACCGGTGTACATAGATATGCATATATCATAACAGTAGGGGGCTGAGTAATACATAGTGGGTACTCACACATTTATAATTAGACTTGAAGAGTCTCAGGCGTCGTAGAGAGTATGGTTCACAGTAGGGGAGCAAAATACTGTTATTTATATACAACAGCTGCTTTCAGTGTTCGTACTAGTGTATGCATTGTATACATATACACATGTACATATGTATGCATAGGTGGTTTCTTCTCTATGGATAGACTATAAAACAACAAATATTTGCTTGCTTCTTTTTTACCGGCACTAATACTAATAAAGTTTGCAAAACCGTGATGCATGTACGTACATGTGTATGCGCGCCATCATGTTTGTTTATTTGGTTTTTACTTCTTGCTGAATTTTTTCTTACATTTAAATAAATCTTACCCTACTATTAAATTACGCAGTTGAAAAACGCCGGCATGGAAGAATTTGGAGGTATGTACTTAGGTGTATGCTTGTATTTACATATTTGTGTCTTAAGTAAGCCTATAAAACCAAGAACACTGCACAGACATACATACATATGTATGTATGTATGTATGTACCTAATGTACATACTAAGGTAAAAATGGAGTAGCGTAAATTTCTTTATCGACAACACTAAAATTAATTGCACCCTTGGGAGCTAAACGTAATTAGGTAATGCGATTTATTGCAGAGGGTATACCAGAATACAAGCAATATGTGCAATTAACCTCTAAAATGGAGTGTATGGCGAACAAATTAACTTACAAATGTCTCTAAGGCTTTTTTTTAAACTAAGTTTACCCAGCTCAAAATAGTTTTCGACGCCACTTTCTGCTGAGCACATCACCTTGTTAATCCCTTATCCAGCTATCAACTATGTATGTACATTAGGGTGGTCCTTAAATATTGGAAGCAAACTTTTACATCAGTTTTCTTAAGCCTTAACCCCAACTACGCTGCTATAGTCGATGATATCACACATAAATTTTGGACCCGATTGAAGTCGGTTGGGGCGCGTCGCGCAGGGGTCAAAGTTCAGTTTACCCTATGAAGGCGTCTTAGCCGACTCCAACAGGGACCAAAATGTTTATGTGAGGTAGCTCAAAGCGCTCAAAGTTTTCCATGTATTTTAAATTAAAAAAAAACACTTCGTAGAAATGGTATAGAATTTTTGAAAATCCATATTTTTCGACCGGAAAACTGTTTCTCTTCATAAACAATTGGGGATTTTTATTGGAAGTCTTCTGAAGAGAACCAGAGTTCTCCGATCGAAAAATGTTGATTTAAAATAATTTTATACCATTTCTACGAAAAGTGGTTTTTCCTATATAAAATACATGGAAAAGATTAAGTGCTTTGAGTGACCTTTAAGTCTTTTTTAGTTCAAAAAAAGGTATATTTTTTTTCGTTATAGAACAATCCTAGGGGTGACAGCATAAAAAGTCTACCTTTACTTTGGACCACCCTAATGTGCATAATATGTGGGTCGTTCTTAAAAAACATGACCATTCTGAATTTTGTAATTTTTAAAAATTAAGTTGGCCAAATATGTTTATAATTGGCCTCATGTGGTTACGGATGGTATCAACAATAGGAATCCATAACCAGCAGTATTTTTTTTAATTTTTGGAGTTTTTGGAGTTAATAAGTCACAGAGTGGACCGGTAACAGAGGGGACAAATTAACTCAAAAATACCATATTTTAGCTTTTTATTCAAATTTTGGAGAATTTATT